TTTTTTTTTTATTTCAGGTTAAAAAAAATAGTGCCAGCCAAAAACTAATGTCTGTTTAAAAAACTAACAATGTAATTTCAAATATCACTGAGGAGACACTAATTTAGGACAAGGATTTAAAGATTGGTTCAACCTCCACAGGTTATTAAAACACTCCAGCTTTCTAAACTAATAAAACTATGTAGCTGAGGTGGGGAGGAGAGGAGAGGAAACAGTTTGTCCTCTAGAAGCATATTTTCTTAAGGACAATGCCTTCCTTTTGGAATCTGTGCCATAGCAGCCAGGTACTCCTTGGGGAGGCTGTTACTTCTTAATTACTCAGGAAGCTCCATTCCCAGGGGTCTCTGGCCTCCCCCTCCTCTTTCCTTTCCTACATTAGTAAACAGCTGGGGAATTAATCAAAGTTTCAAAGGTTAGTAATAACAGGTGGTGGTGACAGACTGATGCCCTGCAGTCCAGGTGAATAGCAGCTTAGTGGCCAAGATTGACTTTATTTGTATTTGCATCAGAGATTGGGGAACATTAGTTTTGCTTCTCAGGAAAGGAGAAAAACAAATTATTTTCTGGTGTTCAAACTCAGACACTAGACACCAAAGCACCTTCTTGACTTCATGGGCTTTCCATGGGTAGTCATGGTAAAGGAGTAAGTATGGAAAGAAATGAAACACCTTCAGAAATTGAGGAGGAAATGCACTAGTTAGCAGAGAAGGCCTGTAGGAAGCCTACAGTCCAAACTCCTTACCTTACGGTAAAGCAGGCCCAGAGAAGGGAAGTGACTTGTCTCAAGTTGCAGCAAAATAGGAACAGCATGAGGCTGAGAACTCACTTCTAATTTCCAGAGTGAGGCTCTACACGCTGGTCTGATACATATGGTATGTGGCATTCAAGGGCCAAAGCAACAGCTTACCCAGGTTAAGGACTGGGCGGAGCCACTCAAGCAGCTCAGTAGCTGGTGGAAGAGCTTCAGGGAGGCCGGCTGGCATAAACCCATCTTAGGAACCGCTGACCTCAACCTCAGCGCCCATGGGAGCATCCTAGGTGGATGGATTAGCGCACTGGTTCCTCTGGTGTCCGCTAAAGCTTTGAGGACTTGCCTAAGCTCAGAGGTTTGAAAGCAACAAGCAACAAAACACGGATGGGCCCCAGGCTGCCCTCTCTAGGCTATTCAGAAAATTCTCCAAGGGGAGGTTGGAAGAAACTTCGATTTGGCCCCAACAGAAACTATCCTGAACACTCAATAGCAGCCTCTGTCAGCTTTGCCCTCTGGAGCTGCCCATATGCCCCAGAGATGCCCATTGAGACTACTCTCAATGCCTGTCAAACTATAACT